TGTGGTTTATATACACAATGGAATACTACTTGTCAATGACAAAGAATGAAATTTGGCCATTTGCAACAGCATGGATAGAACTGGAGGGTATTATGCTAAGTGAAATAAGCCAGGCAGAGCAAGACAGATACCATATGTTTTAATTCATATGTGTATCTTGAGAGACTTAACAGAAGACCATGGAGGAGGGGACAGGGAAAAAGAAATTACAGAGAGGGCTGGAGGCAAACCATAAGAGACTCTTAAGGACTGGGAACAAACTGAGGGTTGATGGGTATGAGGGAGAGGTGAAAGTTGATGATGGGCATTGAGGAGGGCTCCTGCTGGGATGAGCACTGGGTGTTGTATGGAAACCAATTTGACAATAAATTATTCCAAAAGAGAAAAAAATGAAAAGCAGGCTAAGCATTGTAGGAAGACCCTAGTGTTGTCTCATACTTCCAACATAGCCAGGTAACAATCAAATATTTCTGAATACCCAAGAAATTGACCTGAGGAGAGATAGAACCAACTCCACAACCTGAGGGAGAGAAGAGGCCACATTGAGGAAGGTAGGAAGGGAGAGACATGGTATTGGGGAAAACGGGTTGTGGGTGCTGTGGAGGGGGGAGAGCTTTGGACATAGAGAAAAACAAGATAAAATATGACTCACAGGGATTAGCACAAAAATAACAATTCCACAAAGCCATGGGTTGAGAAAACAAGAGGGATTGATTTTTGTGTTTTTGCAACCAGCATTTTTGTGGTTTTGCAACTCCAATAACTAGAGTTTTAGAGGTGCCTGTGCTTGGCTGGAAGAGACCTGAGGTTGCTGTTGTACTCCTTGAAGGGAGGCAGGCAAATAAACTTGAACATACTGTGATGGAGGAACACCTAAGGTTCATAGGGAAAGAGTGTACTTTTTTGAGTATATTTGTAAGAAGTAGCATTCCCTCTCTGGGACCAAAGAACCGAGGGGACTATTTCCCTCCTCTGCCCTTCAGTATAGGTATGGACAACTGCTGAATGTGGCTAACCCAGACACTGGGTTTGTTAGCCTGCTTTGCTCCAAATCCCATCCTACTTCACTCTGATGTTAATGCCCTTCTGGGTCAAAACTGCATCAGTCCCAGCATGGCGAGATCCTTTACCAGAGGACCAGTGCATTTCCCCACATCAGGTCCCTCCAGTTTGGAAATTTAAAAGTCAGCCGTTGTCACTGAGATACAGCCCAAGTGTGCTGAACTCCTCCACGGACAGTGTGAAAACAGTGATCTGAATAATGCCTGGGGTGCACAAGGGGCAATTATTCACTCCTCTGAATTCTTCCTTCAGAGCGACAAATATGGATTTCCCTCATGGAGGATAAAGGAATGGGCTGGTTCCATTTACTTACCATTACCTTCAGCTTAAACCAACTTCAGTAAATAGCACAATGCCAATGTGCTTCCTAACCTGCTTACACCAAATTCTAGCCACCTGTACTCTACTGGTACTGCTTTCTTTCTGGCAAGTGATACTAAGGACCATTACAATGGGCCCCTTTCCCAAAGATAAGCAAAAACCCCCCACATGCCCCATATTCTACTGACTATAGAGTTTTGCAAAGTTTCAGTTCTAGTGGAAATAGCATCAGGTCTCTTAGCAAGCCTACTTAAAACTCACCACAGTCTGCCTAAGGTCCAAACACTTCCCCTTCAGGCAAGGAAAACCTTTTCAGAATACTGGCCTAAGGGATAGAGTAGCCAAAGCACAATAGCAGAGTGCATGCACAACACACTGGAGGCATTTCCTGAAGTACCAGACCCTGGATGGTATATGACCTCTTCTTCATAAAGACATTACTCTCAGGAGAAGGAAGCTTAACAGGCCTTTCAACACACAGAGGAAGACAGAGACCTAGATAAAATGTCAAGACAGAGGAATTCATAAGAAAGAAAGAAGAAAGAAAGAAAGAAAGAAAGAAAGAAAGAAAGAAAGAGCAAGCAAAAGATAGAGAAAGAGAAAAGAAAAAGTTATTGTCAGGATCTAATTGAAACAAATAAAGTAATATGCCTGATGGAGAATTCAAAGGAACAATCACAACGATACTAGCTGGACTTGAGACAAAGATAGAAGAAATAAGGGGTATCCTTACTGAAAAGATGAAAGAGCTTAAAAAACAATCAGACTGAACTGAAAAATCCAATAATTGATATTTGAAACCAACTGATTGTAATGACCACAAGGACAAAAGAAGCAGATGAATGAATACGTGATATAGAAGATAGAATAATGGAAAATAATAAAGCTGAACAAAAAACAAAGGAAAATTTTGGATCATGAGAATATACTTAGGTAACTCAGTTGCACTCTGAATGTAAAAGCATATTTACATTCGTATCATAGGAGTCCCAGAAGAAGAGAAAGGAGGGGGTGAACAGAAGGCTTATTTGAAGGAAATCATATCTGAAAGCTTCTCTAATCTGGGAAAGGAAACATACATCCAATCCACCAAGCATAGATAACTCCAATTAAGTCAACACAAGCAGGCCAATGCCAAGGCATATTGTAGTTAAATTTGTAAAATATAGTGATTAACCAAAAAAAATCCTAAAAGCATCAAGACAAAAGAAATACTTAAAATACAAGAGAAGATCAATAATGCAACAGCAGATCTCTAGACAGAAAAATGGGAAGACAGAGGAAGTGGCATGATATATTCAAGGTGCTGAGTGGAAAAGATCTGTAACCAAGAATATTCTATCCAGCAAAGGTATCACTCAGAATAGAAGGAGAAACAAAGAGTTTCTTAGACAAACAGAAACTAAAGGAATTCATGATCACTAAATCATCACTGAAAGAAATCTTAAAGAGGAATATTTGAGTATGAAGTGAAGAATGACAGAGACAAAAAAATAGAAAAGTATAGAAAAAAATCTCCAGAAAAATGACAAGTAATAAAAAAGCAATAAATACATATCTATGAATAATAACTATGAATATAAATGGACAAAATTCTCCACTCAAAAAACATAGAATGTCAGAATGCATAAAAAAACAAGCTCTATCTCTATGCTGCTGAAAAAAGACTCATTTTTTTCTATTTCATTTCATTTTTTAAAATTTAAATACAAGTTAGTTAACATATAGTATAATAATGATTTCAAAATAGAACTTAGTGATTCATCACTTATATGTAACACCCAGTGCTCATCCTGACAACTGTCCTCCTTAATGCCCCTTGCTTAGTTAGCCCATCCCCCAGTCAACACACCTCCAGCACCTCTCAGTTTGTTCTCTGTATTTAAGAGTCTCTTATGGTTTATCTCCCTGTTTTTATATTACTTTTTCTTCCTTTCCCTTATGTTCATCGGTTTTGTATCTTAAATTCCACATATGAGTAAAGTCATATGACATTTGTCTGTCTCTGAATGACTTATTTCACTTTGCATAATACACTCTAGTTCCATCCATGTTGTTGCAAATGGAAAGATTTCATTTTTTTAATTGCCAAATATTTGTTTGTATATATACACCACGTCTTCTTTATCCATTCATCAGTGAATGTACATTTGAGCTCTTTCCATATATTGACTATTGTCAATAGCACTGCTATAAACATTGGGGTGCATTTGTTCCTTTTAAACAGCACTCCTGTATTCTTTGGATAAATAACTAGTACTGCGATTGTTGGGTCATAGAAGAGTTCCATTTTTAATTTTTGGGGAAACTTCTATAGTGTTATCCAGAGTGGCTGTACCAGTTTGCCTTCCCACCAACAGTGCAAAAGGGTTCCCCTTTATCCACATCCTTAACAACATCTGCTGCATGAGTTGTTAATTATAGTCATTGTAAAGGAGTATCTCATTGTAGTTTTGTATTTCCCTGATGACGAGTGATGCTGAGCATTTTTTTTTTTCATGTTTGGTAGCCATATGGATGTCTTCTTTGGAAAATTATCTATTCATTTCTTTTGCCCATTTATTCATTGGATTATTTGTTTTTTGGGGGGAGTTGATTTTGATAAGTTCTTTATAGATTTTGGATACTAACCCTTTATTAACCATTCCATTGGTTGCCTTTAAATTTTCCTGGTTGTGGGGCGCCTGGGTGGCTCAGTCAGTTAAGCGGCTGACTTCGGCTCAGGTCATGATCTCGCGGTCCGTGAGTTCGAGCCCCGCGTCGGGCTCTGTGCTGACAGTTCAGAGCCTGGAGCCTGTTTAACTTCTGTGTCTCCCTCTCTCTGACCCTCCCCCGTTCATGCTCTGTCTCTCTCTGTCTCAAAAATAAATAAACGTTAAAAAAATATTTTTAAATTTTCCTGGTTGTTCCCTTTGCTTTGCAGAAGTATTTTATCTAGATGAAGTCCCAATTGTTCATTTTTGCTTTTGTTTCCCTTGTCTCTAGAGAAATTTGAAGTGTGAAATAGCTGTGGCTGAGGTCAAAGAGGTTGTTGCCTGTTTTCTTCTCTAGTATTTTGATGGCTTCCTGTATTACATGTAGAACTTTCATTCACTTTGAGTTTATTTTTGTGTATGCTGTAAGAAAGTGGTCCAGGTTCATTATTCTGCATGTTGGTGTCCACTTTTCTCAACATTTGTTGAAGAGACTGTCTTTTCTCCATTGGATATTCTTTCCTGCTTTGTTAAAGATTAGTTGGCTATGTGTTTGTTGGTCCATTGTTGGGTTCTCTATTCTGTCCCATTGATCTATGTGTCTGTTTTTGTGCCAGTACCATACTGTCTTGATGGTTACAGCTTTGTAATACACCTTTAAGTCCGGGATTGTGATGCCTCCAGCTTTCGTTTTCTTTATCAGGATTGCTTTGTCTATTCAGGGTCTTTTGTGGTTCCATACAAGTTTTAGGATTTTTGTTCAAACTCTATGAAGAAGACTGGTGTTATTTTGATAGATTGTATTGAATATATAGATTGCTTTTAACATTTTAAAGGAAACATTTTAACAATGTTTGTTCTATGAGCATGGAATGTTTTTCTAAATTTTTTTTGTCTTCTTTGGTTTCTTTCATAAGCTTTTTATAATTTTCAGTGTATAAACTTTTCACCTCTTTGGTTGTTTATTCCTAGGTATTTGATGTTTTTTGGTGCAACTGTAAATGGGATTGATTCCTTGATTTCTCTTATTGTTGCTTCATTATTGGTGTATAGAAATGCACACAATTTCTGAACACTGATTTTATATCTTTCGACTTTGCTGAATTCATGTATCAGTTCTAGCAGCTTCCTGGTGGAGTATTTTGGGTTTTCCACATAGAGTATCAGGTTGTGTGTGAAGAGTGAAAGTTTTACTTCCTCCTTGCCAATTTTGATGACTTTTATTTCTTTGTGCTGTCTTATTGCTGAGGCTAGGACTTCCAACACTATTTTGAACAACAGTGGTAAGAGTGGACATCCTTGTCTTTTTTCTGACCTTAGGGGTAAAACACTCAGTTTTTCTCCATTGAAGTAGTTAGTGTTGGGTCTTTGATATATGGCTTTTATGATCTTGAGGAATGATAATGTTATCCCTACTTTCTTGAGGCATTTTTTTATCCAGAAATAATGCTATATTTTGTCAAATGCTTTCTCTGCATCTATTGAAAGGATCATGTCTTACTTATACTTTGTTTTATTAACGTGATATATCAAATTGACTGGTGTGTGTATATTGAACCAGCCCTGCATCACAGGAATTAATCCCACTTTATAATGTATTGATGAAATTCTGTTAATGTATTGATGGATACTTTTTGCTAGTATTTTGTTGAAATTTTTTTCATCCACATTCATCAGAGAAATTCGTCTGTAGTTCTCTATTTTAGTGGGGTCTTAGTCTGGTTTTAGAATCAAGGTAATGCTGGCTTCATAGAATGAGTTTGTAAATTTGTATTCCATTTCTATTTTTTGGAAAAGCTTCAAAACAATAGTTGCTAACTCTTCTTTAAATGTTTGGTAGCATTCCTTTGGAAAGCCATCTGGCCCTGGACTCTTGTTTGTAGGGAAATTTTTGATTATGGATTCAATTTCTTTGGTGGTTATGGGTATGTTCAAATTTTCTATTTCTTCCTGTTTCAGTTTTGGTAGTTCATATGTTCTAGGAATTTGTCAATTTCTTCCAGCTCGCCCACATTGTTGGCATATAATTGTTCATAATATTCTCTTATTATTGTTTGTATTTCTGTGGTGTTGTTTGTGATCTCTCCACTTTCATTTATCATTTTATTTATTTGGGTACTTTCCTTTTTCTTTGGGTCAGTCTGGCTATAGGTTCATCAGTTTTGTTAATTCTGTCAAAGTACAAGCTCCTGGTTTCATTGATCTGTTCTAATGTTTCATTTTGTTTTGATATCATTGATTTCCACTCTAATCTTTATTATTTTCCTTCTTGTGTTCATTTTGGGCTTTATATGCTGTTCTTTTTCCAGTTCTTTTAGCTGTAAGGTTAGGTTGTTTATTTTACACCTTTCTTCCTTCTTTAGGAAGGCCTAGATTACTATATACTTCCCTCTTAGACCACCTTTGCTTCATCCCAGAGGTTTTGGGCTGTAATGTTTTCATTTTCACTTGCTTCCATGTACTTTTAAAATTTTCTTTAATTTCTTAGTTAACCCATTCATTCTTTAGGAGGATGCTCTTTAATTTCTAAGTATTCAAGGTCTTTCCAATTTTTTTTGTTGTTAGTGATTTCTAGTTTCATAGCATTGTGGTCTGAAAATATGCAAGGTTTGATCGCCATGTTTTTGTACTTTTTGAAGGCTTATTTGTGCCTCAGTATGTGCTATTCTGGAGAATGTTGCATGTGCACTTAAGAAGAAAGTGTATTCTGCTGCTTTAGGACGAAATGTTCTGAATATATCTGTTAAGCCCACCTGGTCCTGTGTGTCACTCAGATCCATTGTTTACTTGTTGATTTTCTACTTATATGACCTGTACATTGCTGTAAGTGGGGTGTTGAAGTCCTCTACTATTATGGTATTATTATGAATGAGTGTCTTTATGTTTGTGATAAATTGACATATATTTAGGTGCTTCAAGTTGGGGGCATAAATATTTATCTTAGATCTTCTTGGATAATTCTTAGATCTTCTTGATGGATACCCCTTCAGTATGATATAATGCCCTTCTTCATCTCTTGTTACAGTCTTTATTTTAAAATGCCCTTCTTCATCTCTTGTTACAGTTTGATGTAAGTATGGCTACTCTAACTTTCTTTTGATGACCATTATCATAATAGATGGTTCTCCATCCCCTTACTTTCAATCTGCAGATGTCTTTATGTAAAAAATGGGTCTCTTGTAAGCAGCATATAGATAGATGGGTCTTGTTTTCTTATCCTTTCTGATACCCAATGTCTTATGATTAGGGTGTTTAATCCATTGACATTTAGAGTGAATAATGAAAGATATGAATTTGTTGCCATTTTGTTGTCTGTAGAATTGGAGTTTCTGGTGATGTTCTCAGGTCCTTTCTAGTCTTTGTTGCTTTTTGTCTTTTTTACTTTGTTTCATTTTTTCCCCACTCAAAGCCCCCCCCCCCCTTAAAATTTCTTGCAGGGATGGTTTAGTGGTCACAAACTCCTTTAGTTTTTGTTTGTCTGGGAAACTGTTTGTCTCTCCTTCTATTTTGAATAACAGCCTTGTTGGATAAAGAATTCTTGGCTGCATATTTTTCTGATTCACCACATTCCATTTATCCTGCCACTTCTTTCTGGTCTGCCAAGCTTCTGTGTATAGGTCTGCTTTGGACCTTATCTATCTTCCCTTGTAGGTTAAGGACTTTTATTCCCTTGCTGATTTCATAATTCTTTCCTTGTCTGTGTATTTTGTGAATTTTAGTATAATATGTCTTGCTAATGGCCAGTTTTTGTTGACTCTATTGGGGGTTCTCTGTGTTTCTTTGATTTTGATGTCTGTGTCCTTCCCCAGATTAGGAAAATTTTCCCTATATTTGCTCACATATTCTTTCCCCTTTTCTCTTTCTTCATCTTCTGGGACTCCTATGATTCAGATGTTATTCCTTTTTAATATGTCACTGAGTTCTCTAAGTCTTGTGTCATGTTCTTTTGCCTTTGTTTACCTCTTTTTTTTCCCTGCTTCCTTATTCTCCATAACTTTGTCTTCTATATTGCTGATTCACTGTCTGCCTCATCTGTCCTTGCTGTCACAGCATTTATTCAAGATTGCATCTCGTTTACAGCACTTTAAACTTTGTTCTGACTTGTTTCACTTCTTTTATCTCTGAAGAAAGGTAGTCTATGCTTTTTTCAACCCCATCTAGTATTCTTATTATCATGGTTCTAAATTCTAGTTCAGATATCTTGATTAAACTTGTGTTGATAATGCCTCTGGTTGTCATTTCTTCCTGTTCTTTCTGTTGGGGTGATTTACTTCATTTTGCTATTTTGGATGAAGAAAAAAAGTTAATAAAATAAAAATTAAAAATTAAAAAGTTAACAAAACAAAACAAGACAAAAATAAATAAAGGAAGCTAGATCCTAGGTGTGTTTTTGTCTGCTTGTTGAAAGAAGCTTGAAAGAATCGAGAAAAAAAGGAAAGAAAGGAAAGAAAAGGAAAAAAGGAAGAAAAGGAAAAAAAGGAAAAATTTTAAACTTAAAAAAATATAATAAAATTGACTAAAATGAAATAAAGAAAATTAAATAGAATTTAAAGTTTTTAAAACATATTAAAAATAATAAATAATTTTTAAATTAAAAACAAGAAAATATTTTTTCTCTTTCTGTATCCAAGAAAAAGAGAAATAAGGAAAAAAAATAATTAAAAAAAATGAACCAGAAAACAGAAGAAACCTGAATGAAGTTATATTCAGTCTCCCCTCGAACTCAAAGTACGAAGCACCCTATTGTCTGTACACAAAGCAGACTGAGATTTGTGCTGGTTTTCTAGGGGATGTGCTTGGAGGGCATAGTTGGGCATGGTTTGGTGTAATGCCTCCATTATCCACTTGGTGGCGCTGATTAGCTTACTGGGGTGGATCAGTGTGATGCTCATATACATGCTCGTGCATGCACATGTGTGGGAGAAGTGGAAATGGCTTCACCCAGCTCCCTAGTCTTTGGCACAAGAACGTTGCACTCTCACCAACCCATGATAAACCAACCCTCCACTGAGCACCCCTCTCAGTGCTCTGTCCACTCCATCCTCTATCCTGTCCATTTCCAAGCCGTCCATCTTCCAGGCAGCACCTCCCTCCAGAGTTTTATCTCAGATGGGGTGGTGTTTCAAAACCCCTCACTTCAGAGACCCCTGTGGCTTGGATCCGGGTAGTCTTTCTGGGGGAGGGTCTCACTGAGTAATGGCTGGGTGCTGGCTTGCCCCAGAAACCATTCATAAGATTGTACAGTGGCAGAGGTTCAGAGATTGTGATAAATTACAACACACAGCCAGTGCTAGATTTCACAATACTTAGGCATCTTTGTCCCAATACCAGCAAACATGACTGCTCTCCGGGGTCAATGGGACCTTTGCCAATGTGGAGGCCAAATGGCCTCTACCAAATGTGCTCCAAGCAGGAGAACCACTTCTCCCTGTGTGGCACAGGGAGCCCTCAAACCTCGCTGCCTGCTCCTAAGGATTCACTCCTTTTTTCACCAGAGCACCATCAAGAACTGAGCTCCAGAATGTCAGACTCTGTGTTCCACTGTTTATAGAATCCTAATGGCATTAAAACCCTCACTTTTCTCCCCATCAATGGTTTTTGGGGGCATATTTCTTATTCAGTTCCCTACAAGTGTTTTCACTCTTTCTGTCTCCTTCTCTCCAGCTGCTTTTGGGGGAGTGCTTTTCTAGCACAATCCCCATTCACTGCACTCTTCCCCTTGGTGTTTCTCTGTCCTCTTTCTGAAAAAACAGCTCCTTACCCTATGCAGCTTTTATTTCCCCCACTTCACGTCTCTGCACCACCTACCTACTAAGCTTTATGGCTCAAGTTATGCAGATTGTTGTACTAATCTTCAGATCAATTTCCTAGGTGTGCAAAATTGTTGCTGATTTAGCTGTGTTTCAGTGTTGAGAAAAGCTGAGAGTCTCCATACTGCTCTATCTTCCCAAACCACTCCATGACACATTTTAAACCTAAAGACACTGCATATGGAAAGTGAAAGGATGGAGAATCTTCTATCATGCTAATGGATGACAAAAGAAAGCTGGAGTAGCCACACTTATATCAGATATACTAGATTTATAACAAAGGTTTTAAAAACAAATAAAAAAAAGATGAAGGAGGGCACTATATCATAATAAGGGGAATTGGACCATCCACCAAGAATATCTAACAATTGATTTTTATAGCTTGGCAATACAGTTTAAAGACCAGAATTGTGATGTCTCCAACTTTGCTTTTCTTTTTCAATATTACTTTGGCTTTCGGGGTCTTTTGTGGTTCCATGCAAATTTTAGGATTGTTTGTTCTTGCTCTGTGAAGAATGTTGGTGTTATTTTGATAGGGATCACATTGAATGTGTAGTGCTTTGGGTAGTATCAACACTTTAACAATATTTGTTCTTCTGATCCATGAGCATAGAATGTCTTTCCATTTCTTTGTGTCTTCTTCAATTTCTTTCATAAGCTTTCTATTGTTAACAGCATACAGATCTTTTACCTCTTGGTTAGCTTAATTTATTTATAATATTTTAAAGTTGTTTTCTTTTTTTTTTTTTTGAGACAGAGAAAGAGCATGAGCAGGGAAGGGGGACAGAGAGAGAGAGGAAGCGAGACAAAGAATCTGAAGCAGGCTCCAGGCTCTGAGCTGTCAACACAGAGTCTGACACAGGGCTCAAATTCACAAGCCATAATATCATGACCTGAGCCAAAGTCAGATGCTTAACTGACTGAGCCATGCAGGTGCCCATAGTTAGGCTTATTCTTAGGTATTTCATGGATTTTGGTATAATTGTAAATTGGATCAGTTCCTTGATATCTCTTTCTGCTGCTTCTTTATTGGTGTAGAAATTCAAATGATTTCTGTACATTGATTTTAGAACTGTGACGTTGTTGAACTCATATATCAGCTTTAAAAGTTTTTTGGTGGAGTCTTTCAGGTTTTCTGTCTAGAGTAACATGTCATCTGTAAAGAGTGATAGTTTTACTTCTTTCTTTCCAATTTGGATGCTTTTTATTTCATTTTGTTTTATGATTGCTGAGGCTAGGACTTACAGTTCTATGCTGAATAACATTGGTGACAGTGGACATCGCTGTCGTGTTCCTGGTCTTAGGGGGAAAGCTCTCAGTTTCTCCCCATTGAGGATGATATTATTTTTGGGTCTTTCATATATGGATTTTGTGATGTTGAGGTATGCTCCTTCTATCCTTGTTCTCTTGAGGGTTTTTATCAATAAAGGATGCTGTATTTTGTCAAATGGCTTTTCTTCAACTATTGAAAGGATCATGTGGTTCTTATCTTTTGTTAATTAATGTGGTGTATCATGTGGATTGATTTGTGAATACTGAACCAGCCTTACAGCCCAAGATGAATCTCACTTGATAATGGTGAATAATTCTTTTAATGTTCTGTTGAATTCAATTTGATAGCATCTTCTTTAGAATTTCTGCATCTGGAGTCGTCAGGGATATTGGTATATAATTCTTTTTATTGTGATCTTGTCTGGTTTTGGAATCAAGATAATTCTGGATTCATAGAATGATTTTGGAAGTCTTCCTTTCTTTAAGAATGACTAAAATTAACAACTCAGGAAACAACATGCTGGTGAGGTTGTGGAGAAAGGGGATCACTTTTGCAATGATGGTGGGAATGCAAACTGGTGCAGACACTCTAGAAAACAGTATTGGAGTTTCTTAAAAAGTTAAAAATAGAACTACTCTATGACCCAGCAGCAATTGCACTGCTAGGAACTTATCCAAAGGATACAAAAATGGTGATTCAAAGGTGCACATGTACCCCTATGTTTATAGCAGTGTTATCAACAATAGCCAAATTATGGAAAGAACCCAAATGTCCATTGCATGATGAATGGATAAAGAAGATGTGATAGATATATAATGGAATACTACTTCATGATAAAAAAAATGAAATCTTTTCATTTGTAACAACATAGATGGAACTAGAGGGAATTGTGCTGAGTGAAATAAGTCAGTCAGAAAAAGACAGATATGATGTCACTCATATGTAGGATTTTAGAAACTCAACAGATGAATAAAGGGTAAGGCAGGGAAAAATATGCCAAAAGCAGAGAAGGAGGCAAGCATAATAGACTCTTAAATAAAGAGAACAAACGGAGGGTTGCTGGATGGGGTGGGTGGGGGGATGTGCTAAGTGGGTGATGGGCAGTAAGGAGGGCACTATTTGGGTGTTATATATAAGAGATGAATCACTGAGTTCTATTCCTGAAGCCAAGACTACACTGTAGGTTAACTAACTTAAATAAAATAATAAATAAATAAATAAATAAATAAATAGAAATTACTCCTTCATAATTAAAAAAAATGGATATCTAACAATTACAAATTTGTGCCTTAAACTTTCGAGCACTGAAATACATAATACAATTAACAACAAACAAAAAGGAACTCATTGACAATACAATAGTAGTAGGGGAATGCATCACACAATTTGCAGCAATGGACACATTATCAAGCAGAAAATCAACAAGGAAACAATGACTTTGAATAACACTCTAGATCGGATGTACTGAATAAGTATATTCAGAAATTTTCATCATTAAGCGCAGAATACACAGTATTTTCAAGAGCACATGGGACATTCTCCAGAGCATATCATATACAGGGTCACAAATCAGGTCTCAACAGGTACAAATATTGAGATAATACCATGAATATTTTCTGAGCATAATGCTATGAAGCTTGAAGTCAAACTCAAGACAAAATTTGGAAATAACACAAATACGTGGAGGTTAAATACATGCTACAAATCCATTAATATGTCAACCAGGAAATTAAAAAGAAATAAAATAATAATATATGGAAAAAATGAAAACGAAAACAGAACAGTCCAAAACCTTTGAGATGTGACAATAGCAGTCATAAGACAGAAATATATGGCAATACAAGCCTAAGTCAAGAAGCAAGAAAACTCACAAATAAACAACCTAACTTTACACCTAAACGACCTAGACAAATAACAACAAAGGCCAAAGGCAGCAGAAGAAGGGAAATAATAAATATTAGAAAAGAAAACAAAAGATATAGAAAACAAACCAAATCAAAACAAAATAATAGAACAGATCAATGAAACAAGGAGCTGGTTCTTTAAAAAAAATTAATAAAATTGATAAACACCTAGCCAACCTTATCAAAAAGATAAGACAAAGAAACCGAATAAATAAAATCACAAATGAGAGAGGAGGAATAATCAATGCCATGGAAATACAATTATAAGAGAACATTATAAAAATTATGTGTCAACACATTGGGCAATCTGGAAGAAATTGATAAATTCCTAGTAACATCAAAACTACCAAAACTGAGACAGAAAGAAATAGAAAGCTTGAAAAGACTACTAGCAATTAAATTGAATCAGTAATAATAGTAATACTAATAATGATTATTATTATAATAAAATTCCAAACAAAGAAAACTTCAGGTCCAGATGGCTCCACAGGGAAATTATACCAAAAGTTTAAAGGAAAGTTAATACCTATTCTCAAAGTCTTCTGAAAAATTGAAATGGAAGGAAAACTTCCCAATTCATTTTATGAGGCCAGCTTATCCTTATTCCAAAACCAGACAAAAACTCCACTGAAAAAGAGAACTTGAGGCCAATATCCCTGATAAATATAGATGCAATAATTCTCAACAAAATACTAGTGAATTGAATCCAACAGTACATTAAAAGAATCATTCACCATGATCAAGTGGGATTTCTTCCTGTGCTGTAAGTGTGGTTCGGTATTCACAAATCAATCAACGTGATACACCACATTAATAAAAGAAAGAACAGTATAATTCTCTCAACAGATGCAGAAAATGCATTTGATAAAGTACAACATCTATTCATGATAAAAACCCTCAACAAATTATGGATAGAAGGAACCGACATCAATATAAGATTCTGTGTCTCCCTCTCTCTCTGTCCCTCCCCACTCACACTCTTTCTTTCTTAAAAAAAAAATAAAAAGAAGAAAAGGGACATTCAAATCAGCAAATAAAAAAATCAAATTTTCACTATTTGCAGATTATATGAGATTCTCTATAAAAACCCATAAGACTCTACCAAAAAATTCTTAGAACTGATAAACAAGTTCAGTAACTTTGTGGGATACATAATCAATGTACAGAAATCTGTGACATTTCTATACACCAGTAATGAAGCAGTAGAAAGGGAAATCAAGGAAATTCAATTACAATTGCACCAAAACCCATCAAATACTTAGGAATAAGTATTTAATGGGTTTTTTCTATTTATCTAATGAAAAAGATAAAAGATTTATACTCTGAAAAGTATAAAACACTTATGAAATAAATTGAAGATAACACAAGGAATTGGAAAAATATTCCAAGCTCATGGATCAGAAGAACAAATGTTAAAATGTCTATACTACCCAAAGAAAACCACACATTTAATGCAATCCATTCAAAATGGCACCAGCGCCTTTCACAGAGCTATAACAAACAATTCTAAAATTTGTATGGGAACACAAAAGACCCCAAAGAGCCAAAATAATCTTGAAAAAGAAAAGCGAAGCTGGAAGTATCATAATTCCGTACTTCAAATTATATTACAAAGCTGTAGAGGTCAAGATAATATACTACTGGCAAAAACAAAACAAAACCAAACAAAAGAAAAAAAACAAAACAAAACAAAATAAAACAAAAAAACCCAAAATTCAGACATATAAATGAATGGAGCAGAATAGAAAACTCAGACATGAACCCACAACTATATGGTCAACTAATGTTCCACAATGCAAGAAAGAATATCCAATAGAAAAAAGACAGCCTCTTCAACAAATGTTGATAACACTGGACATCAACATGCAGAAGAATGAAACTGGACCACTTAGTCCATACACAAAAATAAATTCAAAAGGGATGTAAGACATAAATGTGAGACGGGAAAACATCAGAATCCTAGAAGAAAACACAGGCAGTAGCGTCTTTGATATCAGCCAAAGCAACTTCTTACTAGATACATCTCCAGAGGATGTATCTTGAAAAAAAATAAACTATTGGGACTTCATCAAGGTAAAATGCTTCTTCACAGCAATGGAAACAATCAACAAACTTGAAAGGCAACCTATAGAATGGGAGAAGATATTTGCAAATGACATATCTGATAAAGGGTTAGTATCCAAAATCTATAAAGAAGTTATCAAACTGAACATGCAAAAAAACAAATAATCCAATAAAGAAATGGGTAGAAAACATGAATAGCCATCTTTCCAAAGAAGACATACAGAAAGACAATAGACACATGAAAGGATTGTCACCACCATTCATCATCAGGGTTATACAAATAAAAAAATACAATGAGATATCACCTCACACTAGTCAGAATGCCTAAAATTAACAGCACATAAACACGTGTTAGTGAGGCTGTGGATAAATGGGAACCCTCTTACATTGTTTGTGGGAATTAAAACTGTTACAGTCACTTTGGAAGACAATATGTAGGTTCCTCAAAAAGTTAAAATAGAACTACCCTATGATCCAGCAATTGAACTACTAGTTATTTACCCAAAGAATAGAAAAATACTTGTTTAAAATGATACACTCCAATGTTTATTTCAGAATTATCAACAGTAGCCAAATTATGGAGAAAGACAAAACTATCCACTGATGAATGGATAAAGAAGATGTGGTTATATATATATATATATATATATATATTCAATGGAGTATTTTCAGCTGTAAAAAATAATGAAATATTGCCATTTGCAACAACATGGATGGTATTAGAGAGTATTATGCTAAGTGAAATAAGTTAAAGAAAAACACATAGTATATGATTTCACTCACATGTGGAATTTAAGAGACAAAACAGTTGAACACAGGGAA